ACTGATAGTGATTCATTTTGCCTTCTTCCGACGGTTGCCGTTCTCTAATATACCAATGAACTGGCATGCAATTCAAGTTGCCTTTGTATGCAAATACTCCTTATTTCCACCGCCAATTCCCATGTGTGGACCTATTACGAGCACCACTGATTAAAAGCTAAAGAATATTTTTGTTATTTTGACGTTTTATTTTGAGCTTAGTTTTACTTTTAATTTAGGTCGAATTAAAATAAATTTGAATTATTTTGAGAGAGTAAATTTGATATATTATAATATTATACACTTAAAACAACTAATGAAAGAATGTGATTGTGAAATTGATTTTGAAAGTATGTATATATGCAAAGTTGAGAAAATGAAGCTTTGAAATGATTGAAAGAACTTTTGTTCAATTTCCAATTTATTTGAATGTATAAATAAAATCATAATATAAAAATTCATTATATCTTGGAAAATTATACTTTAACACTCCTAGAACTTTTGTGGAAAGCAAATCAGTTTTAATAAAAGAGTGCGTTACATAAGTGTTAAATTTTTCATGTGATTTACTAAATTCTTTTCTTTTGAGAAATTTATTTTTTCTAATATAAAAATTTCTATAGTACTCATTTAAGTTTTCTTTTAAGAAAAAAAATAAAAATAAAATTATGGGTGTTAAATACTCAAAGATAATATTTTAACACAAATTGAATCATAATTTCGGTCTTAAATTAAGGTAGGTCTCCTGTGAGATTATCCGTGAGACGGACCGAATCAAGATATAAATGCAATACTTATACTAAAAACTGTAATATACCAGTCAAGAATAAATTGTTTGTTATTTAATTTTAAGGGGATGTAATATTTAGGGGTTGAACATTACTTATGAGAAAAAAATGTAATACTAATCATAGATAAATTTATTGATTGTTACTTATGAGAGAAAGTGCAATACTTATGAGGAAAATTATGATTTTTTTTTTATGAAAAATATAGTACTTTTAAATCAAAATATAATATTAGAATTAAAAAAACTATTTATTAGAAAAATTGTAATACTTAAAAAAAAAAAAATACTTATGAGGAAAATTATGATTTTTTTTTTATGAAAAATATAGTACTTTTAAATCAAAATATAATATTAGAATTAAAAAAAACTATTTATTAGAAAAATTGTAATACTTAAAAAAAAAAATACTTATGAGGAAAATTATGATTTTTTTTTATGAAAAATATAGTACTTTTAAATCAAAATATAATATTAGAATTAAAAAAACTATTTATTAGAAAAATTGTAATACTTAAAAAAAAAAAAAAAAAAAAAAACTCGACCCAATTTCATGGATCCTCAGTCATGAAACGATCTACTAGGAGATTTTTCACTTAAACTACAAATTTCAGGCACATTGTACACTCTTAATATTGCATGCATTAAATTAGTTTCAGACTTAGTAGTTCAGATCATAAGAGAAAAGTTGTATTGCATGATCCCATGCCTTCTCTATGCATGCGTATATATACTGCTATTTGAAATTTCTACAAGAACAAATCTGATTAGAAAGGGCAGTGTATCACACTCTTTCACAACCAAAACCATGTTCCAATACTCCAATAAAATCTTCACATACATTAAACACGTACTACCAAAAATCATCAAAAACAAATTTTTTTTTTTTTTTTTGACATACCAACTCGACATTAGAAAAATTTTACAAATTTTTGATGCACTAACAACCCTATCAAAATTAGCATCCGTTTGTGGTAGTTATAAATAAAGTAATATAAATAATTTACAAAAGGACACAATAGAAAGTGAAAATTTAATGGCTAAGAATTGGTCGACTCATATGTTTTGGCCTCGTTTTGATGTAATTGTGTCAATTGTTGATTCATTTAGGTTAAATAAACTATTGAGAAAATTTTAATTTTAGTCCAATGACTATTGGAGTTGTGTTAATTGCAACACTTGATTATAAGAAAATGTTAATTTAGTATCTTGACTATGCAATTTTTATCAATTTTGATCACGTCGGTCAAATTACCGATTAATTGTGGCCGAAAATTTTTTAATGGTAAAATAATAAGAGTATTTTAGTCTTTTACTTCTTCACTATTCTTCTTCTCCGTTGGGTTTCTTCCAGGCGCAGAACCCATGATGGCCATTGATGGGTTTGTAACTTTATTTGCATCCAGAGCACTTAGACCAAGAAAATTGGCAACAATGGCTTCAACCACAGTATTAGTTTAATTTATAACTACAACATAAAACAAGCACATCTAGCAAGATAAACTATCAACCTCATGTGGCAAAATTTTAAGGAATTACCTACAAATTAATCAATAGTTTGAAGCTTAAAATAGAGGACAAAGGTCAAAATTAAAGGACAAAGAACAAAGGACAAAGGCCATAGTTCCATTACAAGAAAGAAGTCACTGGCAAGATTTTACAGATTTCTAATGATTGATAATTTGTATGTGTTGAACTACCGAATTTTAAGAATGTTTTTTTTTCTTCTTCTTCTTAAATTTAAAGCAAAACTTGCAGGGATTGAACTCTAATCCGCATTTCTCCATTAGACTATAAAAGAATTAGAGAAACAAACAAATTCGTCTCATATCTTATGCTTGGGCTAGACGGTAGAGGCGACGGAGACGGTAGAATTTAGAGTGAATTTGCGATGGAAACTGGATAAGAAAGATGGGAGAAGACGGTAATGAAAGCCATGGAAACCTGCAATGGAGGCGCATAAATGAACAAGCATTCTTGAGCGCCAACAAGTTCGTCTGAATCCGAGAAGAGGGGAAAATTTTCCGGTGGCGTAGAAGAGCCCCAATGGAGAAGAAGAACAAAGAAGAAGAAAAGACCAAAATATCCTCATTATTTTACCATTAAAATTTTTTCGGCCATTTTTCGCCAGTAATTTGACCGGTGTGACTAAAATTGATAGAAATTGCATAGTCAAAGTATTAAATTAACATTTTTAATAGTCAAATATTGCAATTAACACAACTCCAATAGTCAGTGACAGAATTGATATTTTCTCTTAAACTATCCAATTAAATTGACCTAATTGACCAATTCAAGTAAATATAATTAAAGGTTGGTGGGCTCAAAATTAAATGTATTTGAAGGTTGGGGGCTCAAATCATGTTGATTGGGCTTACTAATTTGAACCCAGCAAATAATTAAAATGGGCTAATAGGTTCAAAGTCATGTTTGGCCCAACAAGTGAATATTGGTAAATTATGTTGTGCACCATGCATGGTGCACACAGATGTAAAAACGGCGGTGTTTTACTTAAATTAAAAAAAAAAAAAAAAGAACATTTTCGATTGCCGTTAGTTACGTAAACATATGTTCATAAGTTTATAATTTCACATTCTGGATTTATAGTTATGAAATTATGGATGTGTAATTATGCAATTCTGGATTTATAGTTATGAAGTTATGGATGTGTAATTATGCAATTCTGGATTTATAGTTATGAAGTTATGGATGTGTAGTTATGCAATTCTGGATTTATAGTTATGAAGTTATGGATGTGTAGTTATGCAATTCTGAATGTATAGTTATGAAGTTATGGATGTGTAGTTATGCAATTCTGGATTTATAGTTATGAAGTTATGGATGTGTAGTTATGCAATTCTGGATTTATAGTTATGAAGTTATGGATGTGTAGTTATGCAATTCTGGATGTATAGTTATGAAGTTATGGATGTATAGTTATGCAATTTTGAATTTCTTTTTTTTTTTTTTAAATCGGACGTCAAAACGATGTCGTTTTTGCAACCATGTGCACCATGCATGGTGCACACGGTTGCACAACATAACGCTCCTGGCTGCAAATACTGGGCCTATTCGGTGCTTAAGTGATCTTCATTTAGCGGAAGCCATTGAAAATCCCCCTAAGTTGATGAAAGTCATGATTATTGAATACACCTCCAGTCTTTCAGTCACCACTTGAAAATCTGGCAGCATAACGATAGAACATTGACATATCAATCCTACTAAGACAACCAACAAATCATATATCACACGAGGCACACAGGCTGCCATAAAGAAAATAAAGCAAGTATGAGACACGGGCCCATCAAAATTTGGCTCACAGCCACCAATCACAAAATCTAAAGAAAAAAAGACATGCAGGTCGAAAGTAAGAACATGGCACGCAGGCCCAAAAAACATGTTATGCAGACATCATCATCAAAAACATCAGCACAACAGGAACAACCAAAAACAACAACCTGTACCCCAACGGGAATAGCTACTATTGGTCAGCAGCAAGCTTGGTCAAACCAACGAATTTGATGAATTCTTACCCGGTAATCGTTCAGCTCGGATTATGGTGCAACTTCTTACCATAAGCACCGACATTCAGGTATGACCTATTTAAAGAAAACCCACAAGGGTCAGACCAAGAAAGCTCCTAGACCAAACATACCTTAAATGACCAAAACAAAGTGAAAAAATGCATATAAAGAAGAAAAAACATGCACACCTCAAATAAATCAATAAACAAACTAATCAACAGAAAATAAAAGAATAAATGAATGAATTACTATGCAGACAAGTAGAAAAGACATGAAAGAAAGACAACTACCCCTTGTATTTCCAACTCCACTCTGAACCCAGTATGGGTTCAGCTATTGTTGTCCAGTAACAAGCCTGACTAAGTCAACAGATTTGATAAATCTTGCCTAATCACTATTCAGTCCGAACTAGGGTGTTTCTTGTACTGCTGACGCCTGTATTGTTGATGCTAAACTTGACATAAAGTCAAACCTTCATTGCCTCCAAAACAAGCAACCAGCAATACCAACTCTCATTCTCACTCCTTTTTCTTTTCACTTTTTTCTTTTTTCCTTTTTTTTTTTCCCTTTTTTCATTTCCTTTTTCTATTCCTTTTTCCTTTTTCCATCATTTGCATTTTCATTTTTTTTTTATCAATTTCATCAAGCCAAATTTAATCAAAGTGGATCATCTCCCTCAAAGAAAATCGAGGGGACATCATCATGAACAATGTTAACAATGTTTGATTATTATTAATGAAATGTTGTAAATGTTTTACAACAGTGAACGCAGGTCCACAACACAGAATATGAGAATGGTAATGCATGCTACGGAGCATTAAACTAAAGAAGTTTTGAAGACTAAGTGAAACAGGTTGCGATAGATAATGTAAATAGGGGGAGAGTCCCGGCCGGCTGGCGAGTTCTACTATATATTCTACTCCCACTGGGTTTGCCAGGGTAACACAGGCGGCTCATCAACAGGGTGGCTGTTCCCATTGGAATTAGCAGCAGGGGTGAATGGTAAACACTCCCGAAATTCACTAACCATTGACCTCCAATGCAGACTCGGTTTCCACTCAGCCTCCTTCAACACCTTCAAGATTTCCTTAGCCACAATCTTGCTCCCCTCACTTGATAAATGGATTCCGTCCCTACACATAAATCCAACCAGGCCACCATCAACATACATGTACTGAAATAACATTACTGGAAATTTTGAAATTTCCGATCACCTGAAAGTGCTCTTAAATCAAGTCGAAAGCCTTGTTCCGACCACTTTTGGTATCCGAAAAAACCTTTGTTGCTATTTTCAACCACTTTTTGCTTTCGAATTGATTTAATGTCACTTTCAAATGGTCAGAAATTCCATAATTTCCAGCAGTGTAATATACTTTCAAATAATGTATTTTACGTACACAAATAATGTACTTTTTATTTGTAGTCCACACAGCTGTGTGGACCATGTTCCATGCAATAACGACTCGGTAACCCAACCAAGATGGCTAAGGATACAAACCTGTACCCACAAGATCTCCGAGTTCAAATCTTAGCCTTCTCAGTTTAAGTCGATCAGCTATGAACAACGTAACCTTGACTGGTTTACCTCTTTGTGGTACTTTGCTAACTAAGATCACATGCAGAATTTACCCAATGCACACTCACGGCAATCATTATTGTATGGACCATAGTCCACACAAGTTGTGTGGACCATATTTTGTCTACTGTAAAATAATGTACATTCAGTATAAAAATAATGTACACTGTATTCAGGGGATGTACATTATTTTTGTATTTAGTATATATTATATTGTATAATGTACATTCAGTACAAAAATAATGTACATTTAGTATATTAAAAATGTACTTTTTGTTATGGTCCACATAACATTAGTCCACACAATAATCTGCCCACTCTCAAATAGTGACTGCGGGTTTCTCTCGTCACAAAAAAAAAAAAAAAAAAAAAAAAAAAAAAATATATATATATATATATATATATATATATATATATATATATATATATATATATATATATATATATATATATATATATTGCATGCTTACAGAAAACAAGCAGTCATCCAATCTTCTCGCTGCTGTAAGGCAGTCCAAAGATCTACAACCTTCACATCCAACTCATGGCACACTTCTATGCAAGCTTCTGAATATTTGTGGCATAACTCATTTGTCCGGTTAGTGTGGCTGGTTCCAGGAACAACAAAGGCGCAGGTAAGTTGTAATACTAATTAATTAGAACCATTTCCCCTCAAATATTTTATTTTCAATGAACCAAACGGGCCGTAATTAAGATTATTACTATTTACTATATATACCCATAGCGTTCGAAAATTTGTGCCTCGTTGACAGGAGGAGCACTGAGGAATATTACCCGTGTCTTCTCCGAAAGGCTCTGGTAGAACAAAATTTAAAAAATTTGTTATAAAAGGAACATTATATTTCAATTGTGTACTAATTCGATTCAAGCAATGTTTTGTGAACAAACAAATTGAAATTAAAGCAGCCATTGTTATTATATTATGCGAGGCAAAAGATGACGAATGCAACATTATATTATGGCCATGTTTGGTAAATGACTATTAGCTGATTGTGTTAATAAGATGGTATAACTAATTGATAACATTAGCTATTGTAGAAAAATGTTTGGTAAATTCGTTGTTAGCTGATAGCTGTTTGGTATAATTTCTTTTTTGAAAAAGTTGCTTGAAGTAGCTTTTTGAATTTTAGCATTTTAGAGTTGTAAAAAACTAATTAACCAAACACTTATATTGATATTTTAACTAAATCAAACAATTAATAGTGATTAAAGAAGTCAAAATTGACCTATAGGCTAATTTTTTACCAAACAGGATTAATATTGTTACATATATAAATACCTTGAGATGAGTAGCAATCTTCCTCATGTTTTCCACATATTCAGGAAGAGGAACATGGGCATTTTGGCCATTGGGATGAGGACGAACTGAATCATTTCCACCAAAGTAAACTATCACTAGAGAAGGTTGCACAGCTGCATCCTAAAGCCGAGCCAAAACAAAATAGCAGCATGGTTAGGATCAAGCACCTACACTACACTAACTCATAACAAAGGTTTGTGACTTGGTTCTAATACCACTTATTAGGATCAAACATTTATCCTTACCCAAAAACGCTCACAACGAATGAGTAACTTTATATCCTTATATACCACAACTACATTTTTGAAAGGTAGGATGCTGGACTTGATCTATTCACCGGCCTCCGCCCAACAATTCCTTAGTCACCAATTGCTGAAATGTGTCATTCACTGGCCTCAACCCAACAAATGCATGTCTAGGAAGAAGGCTAGAACAGAATTCATCCACACACGTACACACACACTAGAGGTGGTCACAGGCTGATTCAAGGTTGAACCAGCCTGGAAAAAGCGAATATGGGCTTCACCGAGCCTAGGCCGGGCTTAGCCAAAACCTGATCCGGCTTATAGAGGTCCAGTTCAAATCTTATAAAAATAGTTCGGAGCCTAGCTCGAAACCAGCCCAAACCCAAGCCTGAGCATGGCCTAGGTCCCAAATTGGCCCAGTCGCGCTCAAAATCTAACATGGATTTTATAAATTATAATACACTTTATAATATTTATAAGTTATCAAATGATATTACAAGTCTTATAAAAAAATTTAATAGTACTAGTTCAAATGTTATTAAAATGTTATAAATTTTTAATTTTGTAGAAAATCAAATTAAATTTTTATTTTGAGATTAATAGTTAAAATATTATTTTAAACAAAAATATAATTTTGAAAAATTTCTCTCTCTCTCTCTCTCTCTCTCTCTCTATATATATATATATATATATATATATATATATATATTAGCATTATTATATCAAAATTGATTACTCTTCTTCGTTTCTGCAGGCTTATTCTCTCTTTTTAATTTTGGAAGAAAGTCGTTTTCTTCTCTCTTGCATATAGTGAGTAAAAGAAGAGTATCCATTTTGAGAATAAGCGTGCAGAAACGAAGAAGAGTAATCAACACTCAACAGATACAGCTAGCTTGCACGCATTTTGAAATTAATTAATACTATATACATATATACCTTGGGGAAAACTTGTTCCAGAACTTGAAGAGCACCCCTGGAGTTCCACCCACCATATCCACGAACCAATATATCTGCCTGTAATTCAACTTAGAACGATATGATTATGAATCACAGCATTATGAATTCTGATCTGATAAATTGCAGAACATAACTCAATTCAAGCTTAATTAACACATTCAAAGTTAGCTGCAAAACCTGAAAATTGTACGGTACCTTTCGAGAGTAGAGGTCAGAGAGGATTGCACCCCAGCCTCCATTGCTGTAGCTAAGCTGCACAATGGATGAACCGAAGAGGACGATCTGAGGGCGGCCCGGTCCAACCATTTCTGCAAGTTTTGCTAGATAGCTAGTATATATACATACACAACTTACCTGAATATATATATTATATATAATAGGCAGACCAAAACTTACCGTTCGATACTTCGATAAGTCCAAGAGAGGAAACTGCATGCGGTGGCGCGTTTGTCTTTTCACACATTAATTTAAGAACAAAAAGAATGCTCCAACTTTAATTTAATGTATTGCTCTTACACTATATTCCAATTTTTTTTAAAAGTTGATACTTTAATGCTAAGTACTTTAATACTTTAATGATATTAATACTTAATTGTTTGAAGTCAACATTTTGATACATCGTATCTTTTAAATAAATTATTTTTTTTGTTTTATTTTAATAAAATAATCTATGCCACAATCAAACTAAATCAAGTTATGTTGAATTTATTTTTTAAAAACTGAATATTATAATTAGATATAATTGTCACAAAATAAAACTTTTATATTAAAATTTTTAATATTAAAGATTTTAATATAATTGTTATGAATAATTGAATAAAATTCAAATGTTTAGATACGATTGTCATAAGGCAATTTATAGAGAGTTTTTATGTCGAACGGTGGCCGGTCACTTTTTTTGTCTGAAAATACGTCGGATCTTCAATGACCTATGATAGCAGGTCATTTACCTGTATTTGGGCTTCATTGCATCAAAATGCATTGTTTATGGGTGTAATTGCATCTTTTAAAAGTTGGAGGGGCTAATTGACTCTTTAACAAATGTTTGAGGGCCTATTTGACCCTTTTCTCAATAGTTTATAATTATCAAGTCTTAAAAAATATAAAATTTTATAATTTTTTTTTTAAAGTACCCATGAGCGCGTAGTGATTTTTTCAATACTGATTGCAATGCAAATTAAATACTCCTCAGTTTATGATAAAAGGGAATTAACTTTAACACTCCCAGAATTTGTGAGAGACGACAACTTCTTTGTAGATACAGAAGGTAATATTGTAATATACTCATGTGGGCTAGATTGGGGTTAGAGCTCCCATCAAAATGGACCTTGCCTCCTATTGGGCTTGTGAGTGATATTGTTAGAAATGAGAATTCAATGCTTCAAAAATATTTGAAAGAAAAAAGAAAAGTTCTCTAGTCGAAATAACTTGATTAGTTAGAGATATAACACCATAGTCATGTTTGGTACACCCGACACCTGTTATGTTAATATTTACATATTGTATCACATTTTGTGGTGTCGATATGATAAATATAAAATTAACATCAAATTAAACATTATTGATGAAATATATAGCACTAAGTCGGTCTTTAGGGGATTAATCCATTGACAAAGACTGAGGGAGAAAGTGGTTAAAGCAATCGTGATTATGGATGACCACGGTTTGGTCCAAATCAAATCGAACATTGTAGCAATCGAACCGAAACTAGAATTGTAAGGACCGTTCTGATTCTTGAATTGTTCTGATTTATTAAAATTACAAACCATAATTGCCGATATTAGTTCAAAATCAATAAGTTCTAGTTCTGAACACAAAAAAAAAAAAAAAAAAAAAAAAAAAAAAAAAAAAAAAAGAAGAAAAAGCAGACCCCGTTGAAGACGTTCCAGACAAGCTCAGTTTTGTCTGAATCTTCGTTTGCAACGACCTCGAGAGCTTCAATCAGACTTAGGGAGCGGGGAAAGCTCTTTTTCGAAAAACTTTGACTCTGCGATCCCCCGTTCCCACTTGGTTGGATGCGGGATCTACAGGTCTAAGGTTATTTCAATGAACTATTGAAGCTATCAGTGTGATTGATCAGGAGATTCTGGTAAAATAGATCTCAAAGATTGTTATTTTTTGGGCGAGTTCGGCCAGGATATGATTAAATGCTTGCCTTAGAATCTAATTTTTTCATAAAGGGTTGTTTCAGTCGAGTGACTTCGTACCTCTCCTGACTACGTACTTTCTTTGACACTTCTTTTCCATTTTCTGTCTGGTACTTTTAGTACTTTTCTTATTTTTTTCGTACCGGGTCCACAAGATCAGCGGACGAGGCCTTCTTCCGAAAGTCATTCCTCTTTGCTTGCCCCCCACCCCCCACCCCCTTCCACTCACTCTCCTTTCCCTAATATGAACCTTGAGTCATCAAAGCCTTTCTGACTCGGCATGGCACTGACAGATATTGGTGAGAAGACTAAGACACTTCGCCCTTCCAAAGAAAAGGCGACTGCTCGCTTGTCGACTCTCTTTCCGAGGAAATCAGGTGAGACTTCCTTTCTCGAAATTATTAATAATAATAATAATAATAATAATAATAATAATAATAATAATAATAATAATAATAATAATAATAATAATTATTATTATTATTATTATTATTATTATTATTATTATTATTATTATTATTATTATTATTATTATAACCGCTAAAAAATAGAATGAAAAAAATCTTTAAAAAATTTTAATTGTTGAATTTGGAATATTTTAAAAATATAAAATGATTTAATAAAAATGTTTGAATCAACCGTTCAAATTGGAATCTTCCTAGAAAGTCTTGGTTTCAATTTATCATTTATTGAAATTGTGAATTGACGATTTGGAACCGAACCAAACTGTGGTCTTATTTAATCTTGACGATACTTAGACAAAAATTAATTGTGTGTACTAGACTTGACATGTGCTGAACTGTGCCCATCCACTTTGCAAAGTTGTATTACTAGATAACATGGGTATGAATTAAAAAGTGACAATTGCATCTTAGGTTATATGTGTCTATAAGTTAACTTATTGTAACTTGTGCTAATTGCAATGCAAATACTCCTCATTTATGATAAAAGGGAGTTAACTTTAACTCTCCAAAACTCATGAGAGACGACTAGTTCTTTGTCTGAGATATAAAAGAAGGAAATATTACAATATACTCACTTGACCTCCCACCAATCACATACTTTATTGTTACGTTGCACAAAATTCATTTGAGTGTTATCACATTGAATCGTACTAAGAAGATTCTATTTGACAAGCTTAATCAAGAAGCAATGATGACAAAAATTGAATTTACAAATCATGTTTTACCTATTAGACCACACATTTTGGACCTAGATGACAATTCTTATTGTACTTATAAATTTAAACCTAACAACTCTTGTGACAGAATACAATAATAGTAAGGATGACAATGAAATCATGGAAGTAGAAATAAACTCTGCTAGTAATTTGTATTGTATTATATTCTCCCGTCTTAGGCATGAAAACATAAGGAAAATTGAACAAAGAATAACAGTTGAAAATGAAAAAAAAAAAAAAAAAAAACACACACACACACACACATTAAGTTTTACTTGAGAACCAAAACTTCCTTAGACTCTTTTTTGAGATTAAATTTCTGCTTGTCTATTATTCTAAATAACACTCTCTATTATAGGGTTGATTACAAAGGTTCCTAAACTAAGAATAATTATTTTGTAATTTCTAAATAATTAATCTACCTAAACTAATTCGAAGACTAAGAGTAATAAGTTAAATACTACGTAACTATTTAGTAATTTCTAAATATAGTAATTTCTAATAACTATTTATAAGTTTCTAAATAACTATTTAGTACTTTATAATAAAATAAGACTTCCTAAAAAGTATGGTTCCAATCATGTTTCATATTGGTTGACCAATATAGCAGCAATTATACTGTGGACTGCGGTCCACAAAACTTTGTAGACTATGGTTCAAAATGGTAGACACTATAATGTATCTAAATTGACGTCTCACGTATTATTTTTATTGTATTATCAAATGAAACTACAATTGAATTGAAATGAAACTGTAGTTGTGTTGAAATGAAATTGCAGTATATACAAAATGAAACTGAATAACAATTTCCCATATTTGAGTGTATGTATATTGTCCAACGAAAATGTAGTTATATCAAAGTGATATTGTGGTTGTGTTGAAATGAAAGTGCAGTGCATATTTGATGTCTGGGTCCACAGTATAATTTGCCCCAATATAGTATTGGTTTAATTCCTCTGTAAAGATGTGTTATTTATTTTTCCCCTTGAATTGGCTCACGGCACCACGTTCACCGCTCTTCTCCTCATCTCCTATTCTCTTTCTTCTCCCTTATAACCAGGCAAGACTCTCTTCCCAGCTCTGCAATTATCTTGTTTTCTTTTATGTTTTCGCAGTATTTTTGTTACAAGAGAGTAAGTAGTCTTCCTTGGAATTACATGCTCAGAAAGCTAGCATTCCTGGCGCAGTTGACGCTCTCTGGAAGAAGCTAAGCTGCTGTATGGGAATCATATGTTCTTGAGTTAGTTTTTTGAGGCTCAATTTCATTTGTGCTTTCTTCATATCAACAAGAAGCAGGGAAGGATGCTAGTCTATACAAAATTTGCACATTCCTCCACTCCTTTCTCTGCCTCTCAAGACCCTTGATTTGATGGATCACACACACAATAATCTCATCTTTTCGAGGCATCCTCTCATCAAGATTTACATCATGAAATTTACTGAACAGATAATTGACAACCTCTTGTTTTTTTGAATTCTGGGATTCCTCTCCCTTTGCACAGAATATGCACAAAATCAACTTAAAATCACCAATAATGCAATAAGATGATGAACTAGCAGCAAGCATTGCATGCCAAACGCACATTACATACCAAAAGTAATTGTTCAAGAAAATCAATGTAAATTGGTTAGGTTGCAAAGGATTTAAATCTGAATTGAGCCTAAAATAAGCAGTTGATCTTGATAAGGAATTCGGCTAGCTAATGCTAATCACCTAGTTGATTAAAAATACTTAGATGTATGAGCTGGAATGCTGCCATAAAATCTTATAGTAGAAAACAAACCTCAGCTTTCTTTTGATCTGCCTCAGCCTGAACCACCAATTCTGCCAAGTCTTAACACTTGTATTTCTGAAGTTTAGATTTCTGTTTCTCCCAAGCTGAAATCTTTTTCAGACATTTCTTCTCCCTTTTTGCAACCTCGATAAAAGTTGTTGATGATTATGATCTGATGCACTCAGTTTACATGCCTCCACTTCTACTCTAATTTCTGCATTCTAAGACTCCAGCTTTTTCACAGCTGAATTAGCACACGGTCCGATTCACCACTCGCTTTACGGAGAGCATTCTCCATTCCTATGAGCTTCTTCATGGTATTGTCTTCAATG